GAGGTAATTAAGTATTTTATTTATCAATTGAGAAGATTTTCTATCAAATGTTGCTCATTATAAATGCGAAGTCTATATATGGTTCTTCACCGGGTTAAGAACTAATTATATATTGACCTCGCATTTATAATGAGGGCTATAACAAAAATAAAGCCTTGTGAATAACAAAGAAAACTGTGTCAATTGAGAAATGACGGAAAAGAAGCACTGACAGTTTGAGGGCGTAAAGGACACCTTCGAACACTTATACAAGAAACCCTGCAGTTTTGAAATTAAAATAAATTACCTGATGTTATTGTTTATTCTATTTCTTATTTCATTTTCAGAAACATAGCAAAGATATAAACGTAGATGAATTACAAAATCACTGAATCACTGTATTGGTGAGACCGCTCACCTCTTACAATTGAAACCAGGGTTGGATTCCCTGACTTGGTGTCGTATATGAATGGAGTTTCTAGTTTATTATCTCCATTGCTTTAATGTTTTTCTCCAGATTGTTCGGCTTACTCGCTCTGCAAAAATCAAGTTCTTAATTTCAATTCGATCATTAATTAACGACCTGAGGTTTGTTGGCCACTCAACATTGAGTGTTAAGTACAATATATCTTTTTATCGTATTGTAACAATGTTAATCTTGACGGTACTCACCTCTCATTATCTATTGGCATTCGGAGGTTTTCCATCATGTTTTTGTGTTCTGCGTGACGTATAGCTAATCTATTGCTGAAGTAGGTGTTGTTTCTGATAATCAGCTGTGGAATTTGCATTAAAGGAAATTATATATATATATATAGAGAGAGAGAGAGAGAGCGCGTAATAATCTAGCTATATTATAACATGATTTATGCATTTAGATCGGCTCATATGATGTTCGACGTTTGACCCCATCTACAGCATCTCTTGCATCTCATTAAGTATATGTATAAATGTATACTACAACTTTTCTGCAATTATATACGTATATATATACATCCACAAGCAGAAATTCTGATCCAACCAAGTATATGGTATATAGCTATATCGGGGTTATTATGTATATAACTATATCGGGTGCATTATGGGTAATACACCCGCGGGATTCAAAGTAGTAAAGCGTTGGCTGGCCTACCGAGTGAGTGTTGTTTATAAACAGTGCTTAAGTCAAGAGGCAAGAATGTGTTCCCTTTTTAATACCTCTACACTATTGAAAAAAAATTCACATTGTAAACGGTTTTATTGATGTAAAGTGAAACATTGAAATTTTTGGTTGACTTTAAAATCAGTTTTGAAATCGCCCTTCTTTGAAGTTTCGGTTGAGCTGAACTCAATATTCCGAACTCGTTCTTCGCTTATTTATATGTCCCCTGCAAAAAGAATCAATCATTCCGAGGACAGCAAAACAAAAGAGTCGGTAATACTTATGACAAAGGTGGTGAAAAAATTGTTTATGAGCTACTCTGGATAGGATATTTTGCTTTATTCTTAGTCTACCATGTTATTATTATTGAGCGTCAACTCAGTCAAATCGGAGGTTATTCTTACGGAAGAGAGGCATCTTCTTCCACTTCTCGTCTGATAACTTAGTGATTCTCCGTTGTTACTTATATTATATTGTTTTCTTATATTTCTCTCTCTCTCTTTTTTTGGCTCAAGCTATTAAAAGCTTTGCAGTTTTATACAAAATAAGTCCACTCACGAGAGTGAAAGTTTGAATATTAATCATCATTGCATTAAAGCCGTTTGTATTAATCAGTCCTAGGCAGGGTGAAAATTCTTTTTCTGGTAGGACCAAGCGGAGTTTGTTTTGAAAGGTAACTTATCTTTAAACAACACGCCAGCCAACGCTTTGGTACTTTTAATCCCGCTTTCAATCCCGCGAGTCCATTACCCATAGTGCACCCGATATAGTCATTTACTATATACTTGGTTGGATCATAATTTCTGCATATCGCTGTGTACATATATAGTCATTTGACTAAACGTTGTCGTTGATTGAATCATCCCTACGCGCCTAGACCGAAAAGGATAACGGGTAAATTACCCAGAACTTGCGTCATCCAAACTGCTTGCCAGTTTAGACCTTCGCCGTATGCTTAAGGCATGGTTTTAGCAAATTAAATGGGATCGAAAACAGCGAGCTCAAGACGTGTTAGATGACATATGCGGCAGCTAGTAACTGTGAAATAATTATCCCCATGATCCTGTTTGGTCAAGGGAAAGGACTGTATATACATAGAGGACATTACATGGGCGCTTGGAGATACGAAATTTATCTTCGAGTGTTGAAAAGATCTCTCACAAGTGAGCGCAGCGAACG